AATTGATGAGGACAACAATTGGGACATGGTATCATTGTTTACATAGCCAAATCTTTTATTTCAAATAAATTGAAATAGAAAGTTTTCTTTATAAGAAGGTACACAAACTTTCCAATATTCATCGTCAGATACATTTACAGGCATAGTGTTGGGTATATCTACAGATAGATATTAATCTAATAAATGATAAAAAATTATTTGGTTTCGTTTTACAGCCGAAATAAAAAATAGAACAACATCCTCAAAGATGGACTCCACTTATTAAATATTCATTCATGTTAATTTAAAGCCTTCAGGCTAAAGTTTAATGTTTAGTTTAAATTGAGCTAGAAAAAATTTTCATAATTTCAATTTAACCCTAGCACAATCATTATTTGTTCACCAAGAGTTATTATAGTGAGCTAATGGTAGCATTGTTTATATGAAACTACAGGTTGAGAGAGTTTAATGGGGTTAAGCCAGGTATTGTGTAATCTCAAACTCATGCAACATTTCCGAACTGGTTCATTATTTTTATCCCATGATGATTTTGAATTATGTTAGATTACGAACAAGCATATAATTTCCCTTAATTAAGCTGCTTATAATTTATTATTGATGAATAAATCTTAGTATTTTCAATCATCCAGTAGTCATTTTTTGTAGCAATTTTCTAAATAATAGAATAAGTTTTAATAAAAACTAAACAGAAATGAAAGCAGTCATTATATCAACATATTGATAATTTCTTAGTTCTAATTGTAATCTAAAAATATAAAATAAAATAAATAATCATTATATATATATATAAATCAAAAACAAAATTTTTATTTTTTAAAATTTTTAATGACAATTTTTAACACTTAAAAAAACAAATTTAACTTTAATATTATTTTATTATTATTATAAATAGCCATTAATTAATGTTAATGATTAATAAAAATAAAACATTCAATTCAAATTCAAGCATCATTAAAATTAAACTGAAAACTTTTTATATTCCTGACTACTGACCGAATCCACATTTTCCGACCGGAATGGATTTGAGTTGAATTGGAGATGGCTTCACAAATCCAGAAGCCTTCAAACCTTGAAGAACCAGTGGGGAGAGATTTAAATCTTCAAATGTCACATTCTCCTGCAGGACATCTTGAGTCCTGCTTTTGGATGTGAGTTTGTGAGCGAGTGTACAATTTTTCCCCAGCGTGCTCATTTTAAATGAATTTACTTTTGGTAATCGAACGGAACACCGGGCTTTTCATTACAATATAAACAACATTAATTCTACACACACACATATTTTAGCAACAAATAAAAACCGCACATAGAAAGTTAAAACTAAAATTAACTTTTAAAGTGTAATGATAAGCCGGTTCATTTTTTAAAAATAACTTTGAGCATTGAAACGACTAATGAAGAAAACACGTCTGATTAATTATGTCCAAATGCCATAAAGTAAAGCAACAAACATTCCCATGTTTTTTTAAATATATTTAATAAATATTATTTGTAACTAATCACAACAATCCTATATTTAGCGTTTTGTCCTTAAATGTCAACAGGATTGCGTACATGTACGTCATATTGTGCGTCAAACTTACGTGCCTATTGTACTTATGTGTACGTGTAGATATGTATGCGTATATGCACTATGCGTGCGTACGTATTTGTAGTGTTCGTACGTGGAAAAACGTACGGGTTTGTATGCGTTTGTATGTGAGCGTATGTAACGTATCCATGTGACCATATACGTAAGCCTTACGTACGTGAACACATCTCTAGCACGTTCCCAACATATCTTCATTGTCTTCTTCGTTTGTTTTCTATTTACTCGTGTGCGTTTTTACGAGGCTGGAAGCTTACCTGAACTCTCAAATTATAATGAAGTATAATTGAATGAGTACTTTATACACGCATGTATATGGCACTTAGTGATTCAGCTTGGCAGATTACAGGGATGTCATGTTAAGTCATACCGATCGGTATAACTTTGCGTCATTATATTACATAACATTCGATTAACAGAGTTTTTTATCAGCTGGTTTTTTGTCATTTGATTTCATGAACAAAAATTAGATTTCTTGTTTAAAAAATATTTCATGTTCAATGAATAAAGAATGTAATCGTTCAACTTCATGTTATCACGTCGAAATAAACATAAGTTAATGCAGTATTCTTAACTTTTCTTTACTGACAATTTCATAATGGACAATAAATTTCAAACAGTATCGAATAAGTTCGATTACCGAATGATCGGGACATTTCTGATTATCAATGATGTGAATCCTTAAATAACTTTCGCAATCAAAAGAATTTATTCAAAATAGTATTGCAGCACAACTATACGGACTGACAAACATACCCACATATACACATATACAAAGACACATAGACGCACAAAGACAGAGACACACAGGTAGACATACACACAGGTAAACATACACACAGACACACATAGAGGCATAGACTCAAACACAAATTGACAAACACGCACACACACACACACACACACACACACACACACACACACACACACACACACACAAACACACAATGCATACACTCCACGTATTCAATATAAATATAGTATCCATCAGTGGGGAAGACTTAATTTAATTCAATAACGTATAAATGGTTTTTAAAGGTTGGCATTTTATGACGATACTTAGTCATTTTGAATAAACTAAAAATTTTGAAGAACGCACAAGTGTTGAATTTACGCGTTATAAAATGTGTGGAACTATAAAATAAAGGAGCTATTTAATAAAGGAGTTTTGCTCATATTTTTCGTAATTTTGTTCATATAATTGAATAGTAATTTGTTGAATTGTTAAATTAAATGTCATTTATTCTTTTTCCTTGATGTTGCAAGTTAGTTTATTGTTTGGAATATTATTTTTCAATGATTTTTGATACTTCCTTTTGGCTTCAAGAGTACATTGTCTTCTTCTTATTAAAGCTTTCACTATTAATTAACGCTGATGATAATAATTTATGATTGATCTGTAAACAATGTTAAACTGACATTAAACGATTTTCATTATATATATTTGAAATCATTTATCCACTATTGAATAACTTAAGAGAATTTACTAATTTTCCTACAGATATTTTTATCATCAACAAAGAACGACGTTAACAATTCAACAACTGCTTGAACAAGATTGGGCATCTATTGCCATCAGACAATATTTTTACCGGCAAAGTTATTTCTAAATTTAAATTAAAGAATAATTAATAATCACAACATTGGATTTAAAGTTAGTGACATTCGACACCAACAATCACATCATGAACGTTAGCAATAACATCAGGCAAAGCAACAACATAAATAACAATCTGAGTGACGGCGATAACTTCACAAATAACGATGACAACACTCAGCAACATCAACAGCCACCGAGTACTTCTTTTCCCAACTCTGACACCCTCCCAACTAATGCAGAAACTTCGGTTAATCCTGTCAACATTAACAACAACAACATAGACAACAATATAAACAACAACAACAATAACGACAGCATAAATTACATAAACAATAACAGCAACAACAACAACATTAATAATAGTAACACAAGCAATAACATTAACATAATCAACAACATAAACAATAACGACATAGACAATAATATTAATAGCAACATAAGCAACAACAATAACAACAACAATAACAACAACACTAATATAAATAATAATGGCATAAGCAGTCACGTCATCATCAACTGCAACGACTCTAACAACAACGACACCAACAACACCACCAACGATGCCACCATTACTTCTCAGATACCAATGCCTTACTTCCAACAAAGCAACAGCAACATCCTCCCAACAGACCTACCACCAAAATACTCCTTGAATGACGACTTTCCAGTTACCATACTTCCGCCTCCACCATCTTATTACTTCAATAATTCGGCGTTCGTCGAGGATCTATCTTATCCCAATCTGCACAACATACCAGATGATGAAACTGTTGTTGATGGTCAGAGGAGATCACAGCTCAACCAGCCTACAACTTCTAGAAGATTCGCACCAAGGTGGCTGACAATGGAAAGAATTATATTTCTAGCTTGCCTAATTATATGGCTTGTTTGTTTCATTGTGGGATTTTCAACGTACCTGTGTAGTCGCTAGACTCGCTACTGTGGTCCCGTGTTGGCGTTTTTTGTTGAATTTACCAGATAGTGTAAGCAAACAGATGAAGTTGCCATATATTTTATACTTTTGTTCCGTGTGATTAATTTTGACCAGATTATATGTCTGAGAATTTGAAAATTAAATGATTAAATATAGTATTAGTCTAAAAAATGTAAATACTGTCTTGATTAAATAGCGGAATAACATACTGGGTGGTAAAGGATTTATTTAATGTAATAGTTGGTAAGTGGCAAACGCTGCAGTGATTTGAGTAGTTCTGACTTTCCAAAACCAGTATTATAGTTTTTGCATGGTCCCTGAATGAATATGGATTTGAAAACATCTTGAAGAAAACATAAAGTCAGTGACTTCTTGTCAAAAGGAGTTGGTGCTTCATGGGCGTAAAATAATTTTTTTTTATTAAATTTTATAGTATAATATCATTCGCAGTTTAAAAAGAATTTTTGTGTAAATTATAATATGACCAAAGTTTTATGATTATGAAGGAGTTCATGTGTTTTTTCGTGTTATATTAAAGTTATTCTCTTCATTAATCTGGATTCATCAGAAGACGACTAAATATTTTTTTACTTTTAAAACTCATTTTGAGTCAAGTGGAGTCTTCCTGTCGATATAAGGTAGCTTGGTTAAGTTGCCCTTGTTTCCACTTCGACGATAACATCCCGTTTCTATAGTATTTTACATACGTCATATTCCGATTTTGAATTATTTTTTGAGTTGATTTTTTTGACTAGTGAATGTAATATTTCCCGGTTTTATTTTAGAGCTTCTTTCATATCACTTTAATTAAAATGTATTTCAAATTCGCTAGGAATATTTTATTTTTTCGTGAATAAAATAATGTCCGCATTGTTTTAAAGTCGTTCGGACCAACTTTTTAACTTGATTTAATTGACTCCCAAACAGTAAAATTGTTTCAAAACATTGTTATTTCAAATTTATTTTCATAACAATTAATCCAACATTGTAAAATCAAGTGACAGAAGACCCTATTAGCATGAACTCAAACGTTTATTTTCACGCGTTTATGCACAAATATATTTTATTCCTCCAAACAAAGCAAGATATAATAAGCTACAAAATAAGACTTCATGAAAATAAGTTATATAAATGTTGAAGAACCATTTAAGCACAACATTCGCAACAATTGGTGAATCGTTACAAAATTTAATATTTCAACAAACTTGAATGCAGAAATCTCTGTTACCTGAAACTTAAAGTGCAAGCTAACAAATGTAATCCCGATAACTAAAATTCATAATTTAAATATTTTTAGAATATATTTTACAAAAGTATTAAAATTTATATTCGTACATCTCATACATGATTTAATGCATATTCAAATAGAAATCGTTGTGCTTAATTTTCAAGACATTCGATGCATAAAAGTGTAATGTGAAAATAAATTAAAAGTGTTATAAAAAGTTAATGTATGCATGCTATTGGCTGATGTGTAATATGTTTTATGTTTATCTTGTATAAAATGATCCCTTGATGATGTAGGAGTTTGTTTGTATGTGTTTGTATGCATGCTTATGTACTCTTCTACATACGTCTAAATGTTTGTGGATGTGCGTGTGTGTCGTGTGTGTGTGAGCGTAAGAAAAATTGTCAATAGGCAATGCATGCACGCGCATATAAATATAATTTAATTTCGAACACAGAATAACTTTTTACACCACAAATGTTTTTGAGGAATTAACTTCTTAACTTTTCCAAATCGCTGGCGTCGATCTTTTCCCTGGGTTTCACGTAGAATGAGTTGGCATCGTAGTCCAAACTCGTGAAGAACAATTTCAGCTGTGGAAATTACGTTGGGAATGTAACATCATTTGAGAATAAGGGGATGTCAGTGAAAGCATTAGAGTTTGATATTTAAAATGGAGTTTTTATGGAAACCATTCTTGATCTAATTTACTATTGGTGTTTTTGATGTTTACATCATCATAAAAAATGGTGGAAAAGTTTTAATTAAGAAAAACAAATTAAAAAAATAGTTGGATAGATAAGAAAAGTTTGGCAGACCTTTCTGAGAGATGCAGCTGTGTCGAAGAGAAGGTCGTAGAGAAGGGCTGCCACGACCGCCCCCATCATTGGTCCCACCCAGTACACCTGAACCAACAATGTTTTTTATTATTTCTATTTTTAATTTATTGTAAGTATTGTTGTTATCCACAAATATTATTTTTTTTATTATTATTTTCATCATTTACATAATTTGAATCATAAAAAGCAATTATTGTGAAAATTATTCCGAGAGAAAAAAATCGTTTCGTAGATATCGTTAGAAGTGAATGCAATTTGTTGTGAAAACTTGTTAAATGTATATTTTAAAAATTATATTGACGAATAAACTTTTTAATAGTTAATAACAATAATAATACTTCTTATTTTGGTTGTATTATTTTCTAAAATACTATAAATAATTAAAACAATGTAGTAATTGATGTAATTATAATTATAATTCCATGATAATTATAATTTTATAAAACTAATTTTTGTCACCGACCCAATGATGTCTCCAATAGTTTTGAACGACGGCCGGTCCAAGTGCTCTGATGGGATTCATACAGCCACCTGAGTACAAACCCTGCCGAATGACGTTTAAGTTGCTTACATTCATTCGTTCTATTAGGATGTATGAATTTAATTTTCTGTTGGTCGGTTGAAATGAAAAAGAAATGCGTCTTATTTCTAAAATAGCCCAGTGTTTAATAATTTTTTTGATTATTTTATAGTATTTTATGGTTGGTGGTTTTGAAATTGATTAAATTATTTAATTAGTGATATGAAATACCACCGTAGTGAACCGAAAAATAAAATAACGTAAAATGTGAACTACCTGTCACATCATGCCTTATTTTAAAAATGCTTTTAATTTTATGAAGCATGCATCCGCATCTGATATACTCCCAATTTCATCTCACGCAAGATTTCAAAGTACAATTAATGTTCAAGTTTATTCAAAAAGATTTCGCTAAACTTGAATGCAGATCTGCGCCTGGGGGCATCGTTCGAGTTTGTTGGCCTACTCAAGTTGTTGTTTTTTTGCGTTATTTCACTAGTAATTATTATTATACACAGCCTTATTTCACCTCAAATTAAATTCTAAACTCATAAAATATAAAAATTATTACGAATAAAACGCTATGAACGAAACAGAATCGGTTGTGGTTTTTAGCAAAATTATTTAGCCTGATCGTATCCTAAATTTAAAACATCAATTACATTGGTATCTATAGTTGGCATGCTATAAAATGTGAATCGCAGATCTTATAATAAACACAATAACGAACACACGCGTATTATAAAAATAATCAACCACGAATAAAAAACTAACAGCGGAGAAGACTCCAGTGGTGACGCTGAGACCGATGATGAACGGAGCCGTCCCGTGAGCAACAGGCTTCCCTCCGTCAATGCAGGCGTACACGGTGAACATCAGCAGGAAAGTCAGAAAGAATTCGACAAAGGCTGCGTTGCTGTCTGATATGCCGGGCAGCGGCATGACGACGACTTGCAACTCCCGCCTGGGTCCCTCCGGCGTCAACTCGTACAGAAGTTTGGCTCCTGCGATGGCTGCTGCCGCCTGCACAATGGCGTAGAGAAGAAATCTGATCAAACTTATGCGACGAGTGACGAGAAATCCCAAACTGACGGCGGGGTTGATGTGGCAGCCACTGATGCCGCCAAATGCTGTTGCGAGGATGGCGATGATGATGCCGAAGCAGAGGGCTATGGCGACCAGGGAAGGTGGTTCACTTCTGTTCCAGGTGATGATGGAAAAGCATCCCATGAAGATGAGGATAAACGTTCCAATGAACTCGCAGACGAGCGATCGATAGAGGTGCGACGATTTCAGGTCGTTCAGATTTGTTGTGATGGCTTTGTTCACAAAGTTCGACATCTTGTCAGTTTATTCTGAAAGTAAAGTTACGTAGCTGGCGATGTTATTATTGCTTCAGTTATAATTATTAATGTTATCTTTTCAAACTTCACCCTTGATCATTCAATGGGCAAAAAATGAAACGTTTGCATTAACAACAACAAATAAAATTGACAGTATTCATGGTTGAAACTACTTTACAAACAATTGACACTGACAACAGAAACAATTTTATTAAGTATAATAGTAAAAAATAATCTTAACACCATAATAGCATTTGCATACATTGATAGCTATTGAAATACTAATATTAACTCATTAATAATATCTCGACTTTGTAACTGTCTATCTAGAATCAAGATTGTGAAGCTCTCTAAAATAAAACTGTATTTGCGTCTGATGATCTAAAAATATTTACATGATAATATGTTTGTGACTTGTGATATGGTGCATATAATTATTATTTGAAGCAAACTCGAAAGTTTACTCGCCAGCTAGTGAACTGTCGAAATTAAATAGTTAAAATCGCACCATTGCAATGTTTTTGATACAAAAATCTTACACTTGTAATTACATGAAATATGTAATACGGCTTATTTGCAAATACAAATTTTATTATATTTATTTGTTAACATTTATGAAACTATATCGAAACTATATCATAATTTAATGAAAAAAAATTAGCTAAGATCAACAGTAATTTATTACAGAAACTGGTTATGAAACTTGGTACGCGTATAATTTAATGAATGAATAAATAAAAAAAAAGCTTAACAATTGAAGATTATTTAGCCAACAAATCCGCCAAATTGCCAACGTGCAAATAATCAAATGAAGTATTGTAACCAACTGGTCAAACATTAACGTGAACCTTTCATCAATAAAATTCCTACTAATCTATAATAAACTTCAAAACAACTAAGCAATCAACCAATCAATCAACCAACCAACCGACCAGCCAATCAACAAGCCAATAAAAAAACATAAAAACAACCAGCACAATCAATCAATCAACCAGTCAACTTACTTGCAAACTCAAGTGAACAATCTATGAAGACTTTCGATTGAATAAAAACAAACAGCAGCAAGAGAAATCGGTAGAAGAAGAGGAAGATGAAGACGACGAGGATGAATCCGTGTGGTCGTGAAGACAGCTCCCAGCAACCAACCAACCAACTAACTCAACAACAACAACGAGATGAAGAAATAACTTCTGCAGTTCCTACTTAGCTGGATGAAACGCTCCCTATATCTCACATCACCCTTTTGGCATTTGTTCGCTATAAACTCTTTAAATATATCATCATTTGTGCAGAAGACTAACTAGAGCATGTATATGTTCATATATATATATATATATATATATATATACATATATATATGTATATAAACACGTACATGCATTATAGTATTATATATATATATATGTATATATATGTATATATACATACATATACAATATTCTTATGGTCTTTTACCAACATATATGCAAATAATTTATGGGTTGCAACATTTTGGTTCATCATGAATACACACTCACACACAAACAAACACACACTCACACACACACTCGCATGTAAATGAATATTAATATACATATATTTACATACAAATAAATTATATTTCACATACATAAGAACCGTAACCTCTCATGTTAACAGATATTATTGGCAGGAAAATTATATTGTGTGGTTATAAGGTTAGTAAGTTGATATAACTCTCTCTCACACAATCACACCCACACACACAATCACACCAACGCACACACACACACACAATAATAATTATAATAAAATATAATAATAACAATAATAACACACACACACTAATAATAATTAGCCCTATCCTTAACTCTAAACCAACTTTGAACCTTCCGATATATGCTTTCAACATTGGAGCGTTAACAGAAGGAAAGAGGGAGCGTTTTTCCAGTTTGAAGCCTTTCTCTCTCTTTAAAATGAGGATATTTTATCTTTCAACAACAAAACATAGTAAGTAAGTAATTTATAGTAACTAAGTAAAAACTTAGTTACTATAAATTTTGTCAAGTTTACAATTCGGAAAGTAATTTTAATAACATTAGTAACATTACATGGCACCAGCAATGAATTTGAGTTTGAAAGACATAATGAATGATGAATGATGCAGTGATAAATGTTTGATTAGGTATGGTGAAATAAAAAAAGAAACTTTAAAAACTGTGTTGGGTGGAGTGGATGGGCCAACAAAAGAGCAAGCAATAAGTTGGTTTGAACATCGAATACCAACTTTCACGATTGAATTTTCATTTTTTGCCCAAAGTAATATTAACGATCGTCGCGTGAAAGCTATAAGTATACACAATACTCTGGCCATTATCTGTTATCAGTTGTGAAAAATCGAAATTGTGCTGTGGAATTCAAAAATTTATACAAATTCATGCACATTTATATATATATAAAGATTGAGAAACGTTAACTCAAAAAACGCATCTACTCCTACTACGTCAATATCTATAAACATATTTGTAAATTTAAGAACATAGGTACGGTAATAACATATTAAGTGCAGAGCCTGGACCGCACTCATCATACACCCATTTCTGTATTTGTTTACATTAAGCAGAAGATAAATGTTAAGCGGCTGATGAATGATCTTCACATCATCATCTGCCTCTCAGTTATTCCTTTCAACATTTCAAACATGACAGCAGCGCGGAGTGACTCGTGGTGTATTGTTGGCAAACCAAAACACAGATTTGAAATTTGTTATTTTTGTAGTTACATATTTGAACATAAAATATTGGCTGGCCGACTTTGATGTTCTTTCACTGTCAATAAATTTTGTCATCTGTGATAAGCTTTGATGTCAATGAAAAAGACCGTAGATAAATAAGTTATCAAACTTTTAAAATTTCATTTTAATACGGAGTAAATAGTTCTTACAAGCAAATTTTCATTCAATTTTTCAATCTATTTTGTATTTTACAAACTTTAAAAATAATTCTAAAATTTGAAAAAATAAATTTAAAAAAATTTGTAATGTCAAAATACTTTGTATTAATCTTTTCCAATTGATACACTAACTGATTGATTTATCAACTGATTGAGTCAAGTAGAATCTTTAAAATGTGGGCTATATAAATTTGATTGATTGATTAGTTGGTTGACTGAAAAATTGATTGGTTAATCCGTCATTTTGTCAAAAAACTTCGCCTTTATTACAAAAATCTTACAATTATAATAATTACGACAAAATAGAGTTTACTCTATACGATCTGTAACCTCTTTTTTTTACGGTGATGTAAAAACTTAACTTTTTAAGTTGAGTTTTTTTACTTTTTTGTTTTTTTATAGCAATTTTCAGCAAATTATCTCGTTTTTTTAAAGGTTCATTATAAACTCTGGTCCATCATTGAGGTTTGATGTATATAATTTTATCGGTGTATTTACATAACCAAACGACAAATAACAATAATAATAATAATAATAATAATAATAATAATAATAATGTTGATAATAATAATAATAATAATAATAATAATAATGTTGATAATAATAATAATAATAATAATAATAATAACAGTATTAATAACCAGACGTGAAAATTGTTGCGTTTATCTAGTTATCTCGATTGAACCATGACATCATCGTAATCATTGTCATCATCATCATCATACCGATATTATCATCGTTATCATCAATCGTCACAATCATCTTAATCCTCTACTTACTTCTCAACATCATCGTCATCATTTTCCTCATCGTCATCATCATTATTGACGTCATTATCGTCATCACCACAGATAAAATAGTTGTTGATGTTTTAGCGGGTTCACGCACTAGCTATCAGTTCATGTTTGGTGAAGATAAACATGAAAACAAATAATGAACAACAAAAAATGTTATCACAATTGTTATTTGAAAATGCACCAACAATATCAACACCGTTTGAAACTTTGATCAAATCTAAATCATTGAAAATGATTTAGATTTATTTCTAAATTATTGAAAATGATTTGGATTTATTTCTAAATCATTGAAAATGATTTGGATTTATTTAAATTGTAAAAGAACACAATGTACATGTAAAAGTAAATATTAGGAATTTAATCATCTCGCCCCCATTTTTTAAGATGAATAAATTTAAATTTTATTGGCTATTGAAAAATTTTTTAAAGCAATTGATTTTTTTATTATTTACAGTTAATTTTAATGGTTTTTGTAAAATTTTTCTAATTCTGAATATCACAAAAACATTTTAATTTTTTTTACTTAACGCAAGTCACCAAAGCAAAACCTAACAATTTTCAACCATACCATATGCTATTCCATTTTTTCAATGATATATGACAGGTTTGTTTCGTTCTTTTTGATGGAAAAAAAATTATTTCTCATCCAAAACAACAGATTTCTTTGTGTAATGATGATGACGTCAATTAGGAATAAGTTGAAGTTGACGAGAATGATGAATAAAAGGAAGATGATGAAGATGAAGATGAAAGTAGTGATGATGAAGATAGTGGTAATGAGGACGACGACGTTGATTATGATGGTGACAACCGCTAATGTTATTCCAAACAATTTAGGTATTTGAACATTTGAATAAATTAAAGTGGAGGTCACCAAAGAGGTCACATCACTTTCAGAGTGGAATACTCGTAACAAACATTAATGTATTCATGTCGTCATCATCGTCGTCATCATTTTGATTATGACCACTATCATTTTCATTATCACCTTCATCACTACCACCATTGATTAAATATTTTTCTACAATTAAAAGGAAGCCGTTGCCACGAAAGACTCTAGATATCATATATTACTACTACTAGGGGCAACAATTATTCAACATCATTACCTTACTTTACAATATCATTTTTGCAAAAATTTTGAACAACCGATTTTTGTTGATGTTGATATGGAAACTGACAAGATATAAAAGAATGTAGAAATTGTAGTTTCTCTCTTCTTACAGAACAAAAAGCTCGTATGATTTGTGTAGATAGTTGTCATGGAGTTGATGTGCTCACATACGTAGCTCGCTCTTTTCATCATTGTTTAATGTTATTTATGACTTTTATTTTTATCACTTATTCACGTTCATTGTTGGTTTCTGTTTTGTAGAAAAAAATTGTTCTCTTTTGTAGGCTTTGGTGATTTTTTTTTAAATATGGAGGGCGCAAATACAGGACTGCCTTCTCCCATTAAACTATTGGTGTTACCAAAATTGCCCTGACCTTTATATTGGCCAATGACGTCAATCAAAGTTTTGCTGGCTTGTTATCGAAAGTTTTTGTTTGTTTGTAGTTAATGTGCTGATGTTTATGCTGTTCTGATTGTTTATTTATCTAGGCGATATATTTTTTTGATAGGCAGGAATCGTGTTGGGTTTCAATGAATTTGGTTTCAATGAATCTGGTTGCTTCTTGCATACTTGATTGGCTACAAGTCTTATATAAGTATATATATATATATATATATATATATATATATATTATATATATATATATATATATATATATATACACAAAAGCATTGCATTACCAAACATTATACGATGTTTTTGACAACTATACATTAATGATATCCCAGAATAGAAAAAAATCATATCTCATCAAATTTCATCACATTAAATCACATCTCATTACATTTTGATTACCTTATTTTGTACTTTACATATAACATTATTTGCTGAAGATACAGGATTAATATTATCGAGTTTTTCGTTAAATTACCTGTAATACGTATAATGAAAATTTTCTTAAAACTTTGAAAAATAATTTATAAAATGTAATCAAAGATACGGAAAAAATACAACAGCATAAACAATAATGCTGCTATGAAACAAAATAAACATTTCAACTATTTAAAATGAAAAAATATATATATATATGCATAGGCAATTAAATAAAAACTCTGAGCAATATTATTATTTATATCTAAACAACTCTCAATAGTAGTAATAATAATAATAACAATAATTTTTATTAATAACAATAATAATATATGAAATAATATAAATGAAATAATAATATTTATATAATAATAGTAATAATATAAATAATAATAACATATTATATATATATATATTATACTCCATTGTTATGTTCTAGTATTATATTTTACAATACTGGAAAAAATTGATTAATAGTATTTACTTAATAGCTAGCATTTATTTACGTTTCGTAACTAATTCTTAGCCTGTACAGATGAATTGTTATGTTGCTTGGTGCAAAACAAAAATATTTGGATAAGGAAACTCTTGCAACAGGCAGTTATAACATCCACACAAACAATAACATCTATAATAACAATAAGAATGACATCCATAGAAACAATAAAAATAACATCTATATATATATGTTATAAAAACAATAACAATAACATCCATAATAACAATAACATCCGTAATAACAATAACATCTATAGTAACAATAACAATAACATCTATAGTGACAATATCAATAACATCTATAGTGACAATATCAATAACCTTCATAGTAACAATAACATCTCTAGAGTCAACAACACCAACAACAAAAACAAGGTCAAAAATATCAACAAAAACATAAACATAACAGCTAACAAAAAAGATAACAGAATGATAAAAAAATAGTAGAACACCCACTGTATATCTCGCTTAAGGATTGAAAACAAATCTAAGAAAGGAGAAATAAAAAGAAGATTGTGATAAATTATGAGAGGAACACAAGCGAACGTCTTCATTATCTGTTGTTCCTTTTCATCCATCCATCCATCCATCCATCCATCCATCCATCCATCCATCCATCCATCCATCCATCCATCCATCCATCCATCCATCCATCCATCCATCCATCCATCCATCCATCCATCCATCCATCCATCCATCCATCCATCCATCCATCCATCCATCCATCCATCCATCCATCCATCCATCCATCCATCCATCCATCCATCCATCCATCCATCCATCCATCCATCCATCCATCCATCCATCCATCCATCCATCCATCCATCCATCCATCCATCCATCCATCCATCCATCCATCCATCCATCCATCCATCCATCCATCCATCCATCCATCTCATCACATCAACACCTACTTATGAGCGTATTGTTTTCTATACTCCCGTTCATCCCATCATTGTCCTAGATTTAAAACAGCAGAGCCACTATGGAGCGTTAACAACATGAAGATAGATAGATACCAATTATTATTAACAATCGTTTCATCGAGTGTTTTTTATGTAGACACGTGTATAAAAATAAAAAAATGAATGTAAATGAACCCTCTCTCTCTCTCTCTCTCTCTCTCACACGCACACACACACACGCACACACACACACACAGACGTACACAAACATAGAGACCTATATATAGACAGAAACACACAGACACACACAAATATACTCACACAAACAGACACGCACAAACAAACACACAAAAACAGACATACAGACACTAAAAAACAAACATAAAAAAATCAATTCTTATAAATAACATAAACATTGATGATTTATGTCAGATGACATCAATCGCATTGAGGTGTTAGTTTCACATGACATTAACAATATTAATGTTTTTATTTCAAATCACATCACATGACATTAACAACACTGTTGTCTTTATTTTAGATCCCATCAACAACAATTTATCCTACTTTTTTTTTTTGATCGAAAGCAACCATTGCTACGACTCCCGCCACAAAAATGGAACGACGTTATGAGACAGAATAACTTTTAAAAGATAGCCAACTAAATCATTTCAATGTAGTTATATCTACATTTAAACGACAAACCGACAGTTTCATTCTCCTTACAAGAAAACAAAATATTAAGAAAAAAAAATCATTTTTAATATCATTCTAATCATTCTAAAAAATCATTCTAATATTTCGTATTTATTGTAGATTCAATTGAAAACTGCCAAAAAACAGAAACTGCATCATTAAAAAAACAACAAAGAACAAGAAAAAATGAGAAACTGCGTTGGATGAAAATAAAAGTTATAAATAACGTTAAGCGACGGTAAACTTAAGTAGTAGATTACATAACATACCACTTCTGCCTGCATTAATACTGCCATTAATACAGTACTATTAATGTTTGTTTATGATTTTTTATGATAAACTATTTTATGATTTATTACAAACCAACAACAATATCGACAACAACAAAACAAAACTAGCAAAAAACAAACAAAATAAAAAACAATGGAAAAATACACTGATAAAACTGTAAAATCCAAGCCAAATAACACAAAAAAACAGACAAAGGAAAAATACAAAAATAAGAACAGCCTGAATAGGAGTCAGTCAGCCAGCCAGTCAAGTAAAGTTACCTGGTTAACCTTATGTGCCTATGTACGTAAACGTATGTATGCATATAAGTACGCACATACGCACGTAGGAGTCTGTTTAATTTCGAGAGAAAATTTATTTTTTGCGTAGTTCTTTCTCCATCTGTTTTTTTTATCCTATCTTGTTGTTTTTGTAGCTATGTATGTTTACTGCGTGAATTTTATATTATTTATACAAACGTGAATTGATTTATTTATTTATTTGTTTGTGTGTGTGTGCGTTTTTCTGTTGTTGCGTGTGTGTGTTAGTGGGATTAATTTTATGTGTTTATAAGAGTTATGATTATATTATTTTACCGAATTGAAGATATTTTGAGTTTAATATTCGTGTGCCTGAAATGTTGACAAGCAATTATGCTTGCTGGAACCGCATCAATTTGATCTATTGGGACGTTTGTGATTATTTTAATATTATAATAATTCTATCTAGCAATAAAGTTTATTGTCTCGTTAATGTTATTTACTAAACTCGTTTGTTAGTTTTTACTCTAGCGTCAGAAAGAAGAATTTAGTAACGTTTCTCATTCTACCTTTGGACAGATACAAAGTGACCATCACCATGTACTATTTTTTGCTGAAGATGACCGTTGCAGGACTTGCGTTGTTCAGAGTGCAGACTTTGTGGTACAGAACATTTTATGGAAAGATTACAAAAATTGGTAATGAACATTACGATGAAACTGTGCTATAAAAAGCCAAAAATGATATCAGCCTACAATCACCGAAGAAACGTTATCTTAATAATAACGTTTTTGTGGAGACTGTTTTGGAATATCTATTTCTTGAATTTTTTTTTTGAGTTGATTTTGTGATTTTGTAAAACATTTTTTTCCACATAACTTTCTTCATGCCATTATCAAAATTGTTTATTATTTAAACAGATCTATTGAGTTATTTATCAATACATTTAGTTTGTTAGGATTATATTTTAACGCTCATTCATTTTGCTTCGAACCACATAAAAATTTTTCATTAAATTATTTAGTTTATCGGTCTATTTATCCACTCAGTCATCCATCCATCCATCATTTAATTTTCATTCATTCATTCATCATCATTAATTCATGCGTTCATTCATTCACCCATTCTTTCGTCGGTCCATCCTCACATTTCCTCGTCACGTTTAATCGCGTTTTACACGTAATTAGTCAAGCTTCTTGAAACTGATTTAGATTCAAACACGCACATACACGTACACGAACGCGCATTAACACGAACACGCACACGAACCCTAACATAAACAAACACACATACAAAAACACACACAAAAAAGTATCACTATTTAGTTGGCTTTTATTTATAAACACAGCATTCACAGACAACTTCAAAACTATTGACCGACCCATCCAGCTACTAAAACGCCAGTCAAAAGTTGTTATGGCTCTCACTACTAGCATTACGTAATCAATATCACCATCACTCCAATTATTTACAAATTTTATACAACAGACAAACAAAACAAACAAGCCGTACAAACAATATATCGTTACAAGCCATACAGAAATATGTGAAGATAAAAATACACAGTGATAACACTGAAATACGAAAAGATGTATACAAACATGCTATAATATACAGAAATACGCACGAAACAATCCGTCAGGAACAAAACTGTCGGGAATGAGAGAGAGTCGTAAATGGGGAGGTTGTTGGAAAGGAGTATCACTGTATATTTATGATAACCTAGTAAAGAATGCAGTGTTGGATTGCGCTATTATAGATCGGAATGGAATATCAATAACAAATATTGAATACCGCACGTTGCTGTGTTAGTAGGAGCTCTGCAGTGCATAACTCCATGCTAATAAACTCACAGAAACATAGGACGGAACAACATAATAATGAATGACACGTAATAATACATAATATTATACAATGATGTACAATGATATACAATGTTCTACAATGATATGCAACAATATGCAATAATATGCAACCATATACAATGATGTGCAATGATATAGAATGATATAGAATATTGGACAATTATATACAATAATATACAATGATATGCAATGATATACAGTAAAAATTTAAAAATTTATCAACCAAATTTTATAATTACTCATTTTAACACAAACACATTAAACCAAAAATAATTAAATTAGCCAAAACTAAATCTCATTGTAGGTAAAATGAGATCCAATTCGAGATTCGACAAGAGACTAGTAGCTAAAATAACATTTCCTCTTACAGCATCTAGAAACATTCTAGACATAAACGACATTTGAATTGAAAACAGTTCATTTTGTGAGGGATGATAAGATATTCACTCCCAGAGTATCCGAGTCGGATATCTTTTGTCCTACTCCGACCCCCTGTTCACTCCAAACACAAACCACATACACCTTTGCATGGATTATTTTGTAACGTCATTCAAGAGTCAACATTGAAACATTTACACACGTACATAGAAATGGATTAACGAACGAATGAAATGAACAAATGAATGAATAAACAAACGCAAGAGTGAATGGATGAACCAATGATGAAATGGAAGAGTTAGCAAAAAATTATGTAGAATAAAATAGGTGAACGAATTTGATTTGTTTCTGAACGTGTACTAAGATGAATGAATATTTTAAAGTTGAAACTTTTGAAGTGCTGTTAATATATTGATATATATATATATATACATTTATATATATATATATATATATATATATATATATATATATATATATATGTGTGTGTGTTTGTTTGTGTGCGTGCGTGTATCAAGAGAAGGGTTAAAGTTCAAAATAAAATTTTGCAACCATACAACGACTAATGTAGGTATTAAACATGATGCTTTGCTTTATATAATGTTATTTACGCGCAAACATAAACAAGCACGCACGCAAGCACGTACACACACACACACACACACACACACACTCATGTTATGTTACATGTATTTAAAAGTTGAAGTCATTTCTCTATCTCTGTGACTAATTTAATTAAGGCTGAATCCGTTCAGTTACGTTCAACGTAGGCATACATTTACACGTCAAATGATCATTTGTTTTGTTTGAAGCGTCTATTTACAAATATTTACATGATTATTAAACTTCAGCTATTTGTTTATTTTTGGTAGAGACAAAAACCTCAGTTGCTTATTAAGATTAATATTGAAATTTATACCACGAAAAACTTTTTAATCGAATATTTTTTCTACTAGAAGCAGTTTATAACTTGCATAGAAGTGATTTGTTTACAAGCGTTTGAAAGCTGTTTGTCTTTACTTTGATGTAACTTTGATATATATATATATATATATATATATATATATATATATATTATATGAATAAATATTTTTTTAAACTATATATAAAATGTTTTTTAATTTTAATTGCGATTTTACATTCATTGCAAATTCCAAAATTTTAATTTTTTTTTGCAAATTTCAAGTGCTACCATCTATCATAAACATCACTGCTCCTATGATGAAAAATTTAAATGGTATATACCCTCTCCTAGTATAGTACCATAAAAATTAACATAAATATTTTTATATTATTTCATTGCGTATAAAAATTATTTTTAAAATTTATTACGGTGAGATGTAAAAATTATTCTACTTAAATTTTTGCCTTGTAATTAAACTTTTGTAAATTTCCAAACTACTTATTTATTATCTATCTTTATTACTTCAAGTTCACAAAAAAGTGATCTTTGTTCGTTTAAAACTTAATAAACGAACAAGAGTACAAGAGAACTGAAAAACGAACGAGCAATCAAACAAATGAGCAAAAAAACAACAAATGGTTCTAAAAACACAAGCAAACACCAACATAACACAAACAATCACCAACATACCAACATAACACAAACACCAACATACCAACATAACACATAACTCGTAAACTACTTATCTCATGAAATTAAAAATACACGTACAAATGCAAAAATACACAAACTTGACTGAACAACCGGCGGAATGCATGTCACCATAAATTATTTGAAGAGCCCTCCAAGCGTAAAGCTTTGAGAAATTGAGAAATTTAATATTTTTAACTTTCACTGCTGCCATAAAACTTTATTACACTAAATTTTTCTGCATGCTTTCATTTATCGGTTTATTAACTTCAATTAACACGATTAAAATTATATGATTCCGAAATATAACCAGACTGCCTATAATTAAACTACTTCAAATTATCTTCGTTGAAAACGTTTGCCGCTATTTAATGGAATATTCAGGTTTTTTAGCTTTATTATAGATGAAATGAAAATGAAAATTCTTTCGCTAGGTGTTCAAAGGCAGCCGAGATGCAACGACTTTGCCCCACTTTCGAATGATAAAAAAAAGTTTGGTGTATCTTAAAAATATGAAATTAGGTTCTTAAAATTCTAAATGGTATGATGGTTTAATTCAAAAATCTAAATAGATTAATGTTTAAAATTTATCGATCTTTACTTAATTGGCTTCCAAATAAATTGATTGATGCAACATAACTATTATGTATTTATACTCCTTACTTTTTCTTTAAGGAAAAGTTGTAGGAAAAAGTTTTAGTCAAGTGCTTTTTTTTATTTATTTTTTTATTTTTCTGTTAATTTTATTCTTCATCTTCATCTTTCTAGTTATTCAATATTCTCGCCAACTAGTATGATACCAGCATGCAAGTTTATGAAAAAATCATCTGCCTCAAACTGATTCATCTAGATGATTCAATATTTTTTTGAGATGTTTCTTTAACTATGGTGACTGCTTCAAACATCGGATGAACAAATTTTAGTACATGAACACCGTATAAATTAATTTTAAATACTATTCACTAATTAATTAATCTTTTAATTAATTAAAAGATTAATTAATCTTTTCATACTTTCAAACCAGGCAAGTTGGTTGGTTGGTCGATGAAGATGAGGATTCATGTCACACGATGACCTTGTCCGAAACAAATCAAAATCTCAAATTTAATGTACTGAAGTTCAAATGTTTGTAGTTTAACTGATAATTAATATCAACGATGACAAAAGTTAGAAGGAAATGATAATAGATAACAACGTTAATAATCATCATTGAGTGAAAATTATTGAAATGAATTTTACATTTTTTTTGTATATCGCACAATTTTTGGTAGATTTTGCAATTAAAAGCAGTCATTTTTAAAAGCAGTCTCTAGTCAACTATATGCTGATGATTCTTACATTTATACTTCTTTTCCTCCATCTAATCTCAATAGTGTTCTTCATAATTTATCTCTATGTCTTTCTTCAATTATCGCTTGGTCTGATTCTATGTGTCTTAAACTTAATCCTTCTAAGTTTGAATTAATTTGTTTTAATAAATCTAAACACTCTATTACTATTTCTCCTATTATCTTACCTGATTCTAAAACTCTTGATGCCTCTCATAAGTTTCGTAGTCTAGGTTTTATCTTTGATTCTACTATGTCTCTCTCTTTTCAGATTAATAGTGTTGCTAGAACCTCTTACTTTCATCTACGTAAAATAAAAAAACTTTTGCCTTTTCTTGATGATCCTACTCTTCTCCTTCTTGTTACTTCGTTAGTCTTATCTAGGATTGATTATTGTAACTCGCTCTACTATGGTCTTCCTGACACCATACTCTATCCTTTAAGTAAAGCTTTTAGCTCTGCTGCTCGTCTAGTTGCTCGTGCCCCTTTCTTTTCTCATATATCTCCATATCTTGTTCTCTTGCACTGGCTACCTATAAAATATAGAATAATTTTTAAAATTTGCACGTTCATGTATAAGTCTCAATCTAAATTATTTCCTAAGTATTTATCAGATATATTAATTGAACCTAAACGCCTCGGTTTACGATCGTTTTCTTCTTCTCGCTTTTTCTTAACTCGTGTTAAACACTCTTTTGCCAAATCTGCTTTTGCTTTTTCTGGTCCTTTTCTCTGGAACTCTCTACCTACTTCTCTGACTACTTCTCCATCACTTGCGAAGTTCAGAGCGGATCTCAAGACCCATCTGTTTTCAAAATTTATTGAGGAGCGGTGTTGAACATCGCGGAAATAGCGCTTTATAAGCTAATCGATTGATTGATTGATTGATTTTTTACAAAATTTAAATTTCAGTCCCAAAATCTTTTCCTTGGCCACGCCTATGAGCAAAGGTGAATGAAATGCAGGTACAAGAACGCAACATACATTAACAGAACTACTCATCCCCAACAAACACACACCCATACACTCACGTACACACACACACAAACACACACTCATACACACATGAAAACACACGCACGCAGACGCGCACACGAAAATTACATTTATGGATAGCTCTCCATCCAAATTGTCAAGAAATCAAATTACCAATTGTTTGCCCGCTGCACAATGTAGTCCGGTACAACTAGATGGAGAAATTGATAATGGCTGGCTGGTCGGCCATATCTACAGAACGCGCGCCCACACACACACACACACACACAGACTCACACACACACACACACACACACACACACAGACTCACACATACACACACACACACCTCACACACACACACACTACATACACATACACACACATTATTATAACGTTTTATTTTATATAAGTTGTATTACATATATGTTTATTATGTACGAAGAGACGGTAATAAACCGGTTATAACCGATTCAAATGACTTATGACGATTCTTCAAGTGTATATATATATATATATATATATATATATATATATATACACCTCATTTCAATGAATAGCGTAACTAAAAACAACAACAAAAACAATAATCATCTTTGTCAATAAAAAGGGCTATACATTTAGGTTTTGGCCTGTGGCGATAACCTGTCGGGGGATTTTTGCCAAACTTGACTGGAACCATCCTCTTTATATGCTATATAAAATTATAAACTGTGAAAATTTTATCGGATTCTATTCTGCGGTTCATAGGAGTTCTTAGGAGTTCATAGCCGATATACATTATATATTTTTATATATACACATATTTATACGTATTTTATTTACATACACACACACACACATACAAACACACACGCGTACACACACACGCGCGCGCGTGCACACACATATACATATAATAGTTCATTGATTTTAATGATAGGGTGACCTTGCTATAATAAAATTTTCTCAGAGTTTATAGGTGATTGGTCAGTTTATGATGATTACGCTCTTCATAAATGAACGGTGATGGATGGATGGATAAAGGAACGGATGAATGAAATGATGAAAAATTAAAAAAGCTCAATGGATAAAATAGCTTCGCGGGCCGTAGATTGCCCAGCCCTGTATTAAAGTAACGGATATATATA